AAATCATTAACATGTAGCATCTTTATGAGCACAAAATAGAAATCTCAGTTTTCAGAATTATTTCTGTCGATCCAAATTGGAAAAGGCTATTGTTGCAGGAGGGCGAGGCCCAACGGAGAGAAAGAGCACCCAAACACCATAGTTATAAGAGGAAGGGTTTATTCATTGGCCAGGAGCTTCCGGCATAGAAGATTTCCAAATGGTCGTGCTCCCCTACTGGCTTGGTCTTTCCCTTTTTATTGACAGTCAACAAGTTCCACCCCACAGGTACCCTTCCCATTGGCCAGTTTGAATCAAGCGGGAGATGCTAGTCTAGCCCCTGCAGAACTACAGGATTTCACAGAACTTGGAAATTTCCAGGTTCCAGGAGGTTAAGCCTATAAATTCCCAAGAGCTGAGTCACCATGGAGGGGGCCCTGCAGGTGCATCCTCGGGGTCTCCCTGAGAAGACCTGTTCTCCCGGACCTCGCCCCTCTCCAGTATCCTCTCTCATTATGACAGAAAGGCTCCCTAAAGTTCAGTTCATAGAAAAGTAACAAATTGAAGCGTCTAAAATGAGCATAATAAACATTAGTTTCTTTAAAAATTTCTCAAAGAGACAGAAAAAAATACTATTGACTTTTATTTTCAGGCATTTGTCTGAATATTTAGGATTACTGTTTTTGCAAATATTATGGTTTTGTTCCCTCCCTGCTAAAGAAATTCAAAGACACTCAGAAAGTGGTTTAAAACCAACTTGCTGTGAATTCTGCTTTGCAATACTGAATTACAGCGTTTCCTGAACTATGTGTGTGCCACCATTATTGTGACGAGAAATGGGTCACACTCCACACCCGGGGAGCATATTGCAAGGGTACAAGTCAAAGCTATCAAGTATAGAACATAAATGTCTAAACACAATAAGTAAATGAGGTGAAAAATACATTTGTTGGATGTCAGCACTCCAAACTGTATAAAAACATCAACACGTTGTACCCCACATCTGCATAAATGTATTAATAAAAGGAACAAAAAAGGAATGGGTCACACAGATTAGGATCAGAATAATTTCACAAGGACGGTACATAGATGACCAAATGGATATATGGCACACCAATTAAAAAAAAAAGCGATTTATTTGCACACGTGTAAACAATAAAATAGACTTTGGGAACAGCCTATTGCGTTAGGATTTAGGGTTTTTACATATTCTGTTATGAACAGGTAAGTGTAGTTTAATAGGATCTCTATCTATTAATCCAAAGCTGGTAGTATTATTTTTAATAAGGCTGATATGCTTTCCCTATGTGTATACTAAAATTAAGTGGAATTTGAGACTTGGGTTTTGCTGAATGTGCTTGTATACATCAAAGCATAAATTTAAAACTTGCTTTGGGGAGCACATTTCACTTGCTACAATATGTTCGGGAGCCTATGCCAAGTGGGAGTTCTATTTCTGCCTCTTTTGATCATTTAGCTTCCTTTAGCCCTGGGTGCCCACTCCACAAATCCGGACATTGGCAGGACTTTCCAGAACGTGGCGGCTGGCAGGAGTCATTCTCTAGCCCTCTTCTTCCTCCAAGCAAGTGTACTCACAAGTATTTTAATATTGTGTGGCGACAGTGATTCATCAGACTGTTGTTTATGGCTCCGTGGAATTTTTATTATGGCATTTTTATGCCCAGATCTTCCTGTCACGTCTTGAAACGTCAAAGTTCCCCAAACATTTACAGGGAATAAAACTCTCTGAGCCCTTGAGACAGGACACACAGCCTGGGATTCAGCAGTTTGGGCGATCTAGGGACTTAGATTCAAATGTAGCACAAAGTAGGAAGTTCAGCCTAATCTCCTTCAAATAGCTGCGGAAATCTAGTGTGGCTCATGGGACAGCAGTCGGCGCAATGGCCTACAGATAAGCCAAATGCGGGCCACCACCTGTTTTTCCATAGCCCGCAGGATAAGGATGGTTATTACATTTTTAAATAGCTGGAGGGGGGGTGTCAAAAGATGAGTAATCTTGCAGGACACATGAAAGTTGTACAACAATCTAACACTAGTGCGCATGTAAAGTTTTACTGGCCCAGCCCCGCCTGCTTGCTGACACGCTGCCTACAGCTGCTTCTGCACCACCCTGGCAGGGCAGAGTAGCCCAACAGAGACCATGTGTGGCCTCTAAAGCCAAAAGCGTTTCCTGCTTGGCTTTTTACAGGGGAAATTTGTCACCCCGTTACAGAATTGTGTGTCTAACTTTTGGGCCCCCAGAATTCCAGGCACTGTTGTTCAACAGCAAACACAAAGTGTGTATCTTTGATAATATTAAGAAAACACTCTCAATAGTTCTGCTTTTGTTGCTGGCACTGTTGTTTTTGAGACGACAGTGGTGATCATAAAGAATTATTTACCCACGTCAGAAACAAGAGAATGGTCGTCATTCTCATGATGGACATGGAAACAGATGGTCACACAGGCCACCCCGCGTCTCGCTCTGCCTCTCTGATTCTTTCCCAGCTGTGCCGTCAGTCACTGTTCTTCTAGAACGCAGGTTAGGAGGTCTGGGGGAGACAGAGCAACGCTCCCTGCAGACATCTCCACCTGCCCGGGAAGAAGAGACCACGTTCAAAACAAACTTGGGAAATACGAGGGACTGGGACCCTTTCAACTCCTCCTGCACCATTGGCTTGGTTATTGCTGTTAGGGTGGAAATGAACAACCATTAAAAAAAGGAAGGAAGGAGAACAAAAAGAAATCAGAATGTCAGAATGGTTTTAAGCTGGGCTTCTCCCTTTTTCAATTAAAGATTCGTAAAAGGTGGAAAATATTTGTAGTATCCTTGATATTTATGCTATTTGGCAACCCCTGGCTATAAATAGTCTTTAAAAACCTTAATAAAATTGGACTTTTTTCAGTCCGAATTGCTGTGCACACACACACATATGTGTGTGTAAAGGATAATGTGTCCCTGAGAGCTTGTCTTCTGAGTGGTCTATGAATCTACTTTGTATGATTATACTCTGGGTACGGTGATGCAAAGGAAAACCACTCTCAAATAGGCAGTGCTCCGGTTGACTCCGGTAAAGTTCTGATGAGTTGAAAAGACTTTCCAGAGATGATATTTCTATCCTTACAATATATGTCCCTATGAAAACAGTGACCCTTAATCTTTTGTGTGTCTTAGCCTTCATCCTGCAAAGTTACTATTCTAGGATTTTTCACTGCAAATACCCTTATCATCTGCAAAAGGCTTGTAGGAACCAGTCACTTAGCTGATGGGCGTTGAGTAAACAAACACCTGTCATAGTATTCTGATAAGTTCTGTAGCGGACTTAGAAAATCATTAGATATGATCCTTGCCTTTCAGGTATTTATTCAAATTGGGAAGGCAGAACTCACATACCACAGAAGAAATACATAAACATTTTATTCACATGAAGGTTTAAACATAAGCATAAAAAGAGTTCATGGAGACTTTACGTCCTTCATGTTCACATGGATGGATCTGGAAAATGCTCTTCTTAGCAAAGTATCACAAGAATGGAAGAAAAAGTATCCAATGTACACACCCCTATTATGAAACTAATTTATACCTTTTATATGAAAGCTATAACCTAATAACAGCCTAAGAATATGGGGAGGGAGAGGGATTAGAAAAAAAAAAAAGGAATGAAATTAAAAAAAAAAAGAGTTCAGAGAAGACATTAATCATTTTAAGGAAAGAATGATGAGAATTGAACCAAGCAGTGTGGATGTATGATCTTGATAGCCAGGATGAAGGGGGAAGTGGATGTTTCCAGTGACCAGAGCTCAAAGAGCAAAGGAAGGGAGGAATAGATGTGTGTCTGTGTGTCTGTGTGTGTGTATGTATATATGTATATATATGCATATATGAATATTTATATAATTTCCCATATTGAGGTTGAGGCCACACCAAGGAAGGCATTAGAAACAATCAGAGAATCCAGGCACCTGTAACCCTAGCATTTTCGGAGACTGAGGCAGGAGGAGTGTTTGAGGTCAAGTCAGAGACCAGCCTGAGCAAGAATAAGACCTTGTCTCTATTTAAAAAAAAAAAAAAAATAGAAAAACTAGCCAAATGTGATAATGCATGCCAGTACTTCCAGCTTCTTGGGAGGCTGGGGCAGGAGGACCACATCAGCCCAGGAGTCTGAGGTTGCAGTGAGCTACGACGGCACTGGACTTTAGCCCAGGTAACTGAATGAGACCCTGTTCTGAAAAACTAGACTAGGTATCTTAGGATTGAGTTGAGGAAGTAGAATGAAGGCTATATTAGAGAATTGGAAGGCGCTCTAAGGTTTTTGCTGGGTAGTATAAGTGGTCAAAATAGAAAGACAAGTACAGGAATAAAAACATAAAAGCCAGGGTCAAAAACCAACCTCCTAGTGTGAGAGATTAGAAAAGGTAGCTGTAAATACCAGGATACTCATTCTAGTTGGGAGGCGTGGGGAATGATACCCATTTCTGATGATTCGAGTTTGAGGATGTGGAGGGGCATCTTGTTGGAGCAACTCCAAGGTCCTTCAGAGATCCATAACTAGCTCACAGGAGCCTGCGAGACTAGCAGGTGCTGACGCAGACCCTGTCCACCTGGAGTTGATAACTACTCCATTTAGTACTTGAACCCACTAAGGAAGGAAGAACAATAAGAAATCAAAGATAACATTTTGAAAGCCCTTACCCAGGGGAGAGGAGTCAGACATTTTGAAAACAACAGGAGTGAGTTACATCATCACAAAAACTAACCAAATCAAGCATTTCAAGAGGGAAACCAGCAGCTCAAAGAAGGTGAGTACTGAGAACGGGATAAACAGGTCATTGATAACATTCCAAACTACAGTGCCACGTGAGTGCTGGGATAAAAACCGGACCACGCCAGACCTGCCTTCATGATGCTTTACCGCACTGTAATAATATCCATAAAAGTTCAATTTAAATTCCCCCATTGTGATCTTATTTATTCCTTTATTTTCATTGTTGTTTTGTTGTTGTTGTTCAACTCTACCTAGGAATTTATCTTATTTTGCTACACAAAGTAGCCCATCTGCTGTCATCTTGAACCTGTGGGAAGCTCGTCATCAGCATGACGGTGACCTTGACTCCCTGGCCTGTGCCCTTGAAGAGATTGGGAGGACACACACGAAACTCGCAAACATCTCGGAATCCCAGCTTGACGAAGCCGACTTCAACTACAGCAGGCAAAATGGACTCTAGTTCACGTCCTCCCATGTGACAGCGTGATGGCCAGCTTGGGGACATTCGCTTTAAACGGTGAAAGAAAGCAGCAGCTTTGTGCCCAGTGGCATTTAGGGAATTCAGCCTTCATTTACAATCAGTGAGATTCCCTGGCAGAAGAAACTGCATTTTATATAAGTAAAGCGTGTTAACAGGGAAGAGTCCAAGCTCTCTCAGATAGCAGAGGGCTCCACTGTTTCCTCAAGTCCACACTGGGGTTAACGATGGTCACATTCCTTGGACTTGGGTGGCAAGAATAAAAGTAAGGGCATATCTAGAAGTAGCTACGGGGGAAATGACCTACCATAGAGCTGGGAAGGCAGATACTGATCAAATGCGTGTTTTAAAGCAGGTTTTTAATGATGTGCCCCCCAAAGCCAGCTGACTCTGGTGCCAAATTGTCAGAGTTTTCTACCAATGAGCATCTGGAATGTCAGGAGTCATTCTAGAGGTGAAGCAGCATTGCTAACCCACTTGTGTAATTCCAACCACATCAAGGAGGCATTTAGAACTTAGATCTGAGTACGTCACCCCAGCACCAGTCCCCTGTCTCCCAGGCACTCAAGGGAGACAAGATAACAAGGTAAGGGGGACCACAAACTAGTTCCTGTAGTGTACCCCACCTTCTTTTTCCCCAGAGACAAATCTGCCCATATTTTTCCTCTTCCTGCCCCACTGCAGCAGAGATGTTTCAAGGCACTAGACTCATCAATATAGAAATGTATTTCTTTGAACATAACAAAGTAGGACCATCTCTGTTGCCACCTAAGCCACTCATGCTGCATAATTCATAACTCGTACAGCTTGTTATGTGGATTTGGAGACAGGAGAGGTCATTAGGTCCAAGGAAACACATGAAGTGTAGATGTCACAGGCCTCCAATAAGCTGTAATTCTAGGAGGCAAGTCTTTATCTCGTTCTCCAATGTTGTTATAAGAGAATGAGGTGTTTTACTATATTTTTCAATCCCGATTCTTGACATTTTCTAGCCTTTGGGTACTATGTCATTAGCATTGGCCTCTTCCTCTTGAGAAATTAACAGATAGTCTTTGCTCTAAGTGGTACCCAAGTAAAGATGCGAGGAATACCTCTACCTTGGTGTCCGAGAAACCACATGCATTGTTCAGGGAGCATTAAAGCCCTGACCACCCATCCTCACTGAATATGCTTTCTCTACAGAACCATTCACTTATATGGCTATTGCTTCATGATTCTTTTTAAAATTAGGACACAGCATTATTGAAATCCACAGACAAGTCATGACCCTCATCTTAACGTTTTACTCCATCTTTTTTCTCCTACTAAATCATTTTTGACAAGATGTCCTGGTAGACTAAAGATGAACAAATACACTCCTGCTCATTTTCTGATGGATGTTTTAATTAGCTGTCCACAATCAAGACGACCAAAGTCAAGGACCCAGACTTACCACAAGGCAGCTAATCAGCTACTTAGAGGTTGGCTACATTATAATCAAATAAAAGTAGTCAGGGAATGAGGGAGGTGGGGTATACTCAGCAATGGGGATATGATCGATTTTTTTGAAACATTTTTATAGGCCCTTGTTAAAGAAAAAATAATGTTGAGAATCTCCAGCTGAGCAAATAAGACCTGAAGACAGGTTGAATTGATACCGTGGGTAAGGCATTGAAGACCTCCCGAGTGTGTGGGCCATTCTCTCTAACCGATGTGTGGTATTCACGATCCCTGTATTAGAAGGCTTTGCTACATGTAATTTAGGAGCATCTCGCTTTTCTCAGGAACCAAAGGCTTATTATACAAAACAAACCTATCATCTTAGAATTGTCAAGCATATTTTCAAAAATACCATATAAAGATCAGAAAATCACCCTTTTGCTAGTGGACTCAACTTCTTCATTCCTTCTAGGGAACGATAGAGGGACAGCATACAAATGTAAACCATTTGGCATCACCGATGTAATTTTTGAAAGAGAAAGAGGTGGAAGTAGATGGTCACAATAAACCAGAGATTGGTTGCCCTGGGGCGGGATGCAGACGGAATCTGCATTCACTGTTGAGTAATAACTTGTAGAAAACACATTCTGGAGTTGATGTGAATATCCATTGTGGAGGATTTTTTGTTTTAAACCATCCTACCCATTTTTAATCTTCCCTTCTAATAGGGCTTATAATTGTTTTAGCTATTCTATGAATCCACACAGATCTTTTTCAGATGCTTGATCCTTCTTTTTATATTTTCAAACAGGTGAAAAATGTAAACAGTTTTCTGTAAAATCTAGATTATTTTAAGATGAGATTGTTGGCAATCTCTGAATGTCTGGAATTTCCTCTCATGGATCGTTTTTTCTTTGGCGGGGGCTGGGGGGGGACTGAGTTATAAATGGGCTTGAACATCCTATCATGTAGATCAAAAAAGAAAGACGTTAGTGTGATTCATCTCAGATTTCAGCCAAGGTTTAATCAAATCCTTATTTCAGTGCTTTTGGTTCCCTCTTTATATGTCTCTTACTTATTTCTGCTGGGTCCTACATGGGATTTCTAGAGAAGTGTATGAAATTCTGTGATCATTGCATGTCAGAATTGTGCAGTATTTTACAATAGAATTTCAAAGAGAACCCCTGGTTATGAGATTTACAGACCAAGATATGTGTGTGAGGGGGTGGAATTGCAGATCAGATGAAAACTTAAATCATACTCGAACCTGTGGTTATTCCCTGTAGCCTAACCTTTGTTCCTTGGTTCTATCATAACACAAACGCCCCTCCCTGTCTAAGCACAAGATTTGGAAGTCTTATTATACTGATGCAAAATAAGGCAAAAATCAAGAGTAGCCTTGAGTACTTGGTAAGCAACTTAACATTTTTACAAAATATCCCACTTAATGCCAAATCTTTCAGTCTTCAAAGGCATTGAAGTCTAATAGTCATCCTTTCAACATGACTTAAAATTATGCCACCAAAATGGTGTGCTTCACAGCTGCACCACACTGCGGCATCGTAAAGTTAATTTACAGTTTTTACAGCATTGCTGGTGGAGTCTTACTGGTTTACATTAAATTCCTTTAAGCCAAAGGAAGCTTGCTCTCTGGATTTAAATGCAAACTTCATTTACTGGTGCAAGAAGTCTCATAAAACTCAGATGTACTCCCACAAAAATTTTATGGACCTTTTTGTTAATAGATGAAAAAGCATTCCCCTTAACAAAGGGAACTTTTCACTTTCTTAAAAAATTATTTTGGTCTCCAATCACGGGTGTTGTCAGTATATTTTTCTTTCTGTAGGCTTTGAGAAAGGATTCTAAAGTGAAATCACTAAACCAGGGTTCTCTTTGGATCAAAAGTCCTAGATTCCGATGCTTGACAAAAGTTCTCAGCATCGAGATTGATAAACAAATGTAGAATATTCCAGTGGTATAATTGGTCTTAGATCGTATGCGCCACTTGCCAAACTGCTGGCAAATGTACCTGTGAATTTCAAAACCTTAGGAGATCGTTTGGTATGCTTATGTTTTGCCTTTTAGCCATTTTCTCTTCGATTTCTTGGTCTTCCCACCCTGTAAATGTGTTTGCTGATACAGCTATCAGATGTGTTGAAGGTAAAGTTCGCCCCGAGGTCTTTGTTCCAGCCCATCAATGTCACAGGACTCTCCAGGGAGCTGAGAAATGTCCTTCTCCAGCTCATCGTGTGGCCCATTGTCCTTGTTTCCTCATGAGACATTGCAAAGTTTGAATCCTTAGTAACTCCCATCAACTGGACTAGAGGCGACAGCCACAGCACATGGGAGAGCAAAGTGTCGGCCTACAGAGAGTGACAAAATTTTATTAGCCCTCTGGTATTAGTTGCCATAGTGCTGTATTTGAAAATCGATGCTTTAGCCCAAAGCCAAATGGCCACCGTTTCCGTAGTTTTCCACTGTTTTGTCTGCATAGAATTTTCCTGAACTACAAACAAAAATGTATTTTGTCAAATGTCACAACAGTGAAAGATGTTACTAATCTTAGACGTGTTGCATATTTTGTGTTTTTACGTTCCAAACTCTTCTGAAAGCTGCAGTTACAAAGCTGTTTGGCTGTATTGAACAGCATGTGGTGTTTTTGCAAAAGCAACTCTAGGAGAGCCAGTGTCTACCACGGACTCCTCACATCCCTAACTCCAGGGTCATCAACAAAACCGAAATGGCAGCTCAGAGGCTGCAGTTTTTTTTCAAAAGATACAAAGGGATGAAAATCAGACCTGGCCGTTAGTCTCTCGTGCGTAGTGCCGTGATCTGAAGTAGGAAATTTAACTCACATTAGAATACTTGTGGTTTTTGAAGCAGCTACTCATTGCTTTTTTCCTTTTGCTGGGAAGATCATGGATTCGGAATGTCCTTACCAGGCGAGCCTCAGGCAGTAACATTTAAACTTCATGTCTTGGAACCTACCCTCCATCCTCACCCAAAGATAAAAAAAAGGCAGTAAGCTTCATGGTTGCACCTAAAATTAAAAATTTCCTTCCCCACCCCAATACTGAGTTCAAGAGGGGTACATCGTTTTCTCCCAAGAAGTGATTGCTTTGAATTATAGAATATGTCACTAAATTTCACAACACAGTACTTCTTTGCCTGCATGGAAATACATGTCAGAATACTTTTATGAAAAGCACGTATGATTACAATGGAAATGCCCTCTGGCCTCCAATTTTGCCAACCCTCAAAGTGTCACTAATTTCAAGCATAGTTTCTACACAAATTCCAAAATCGGCCAACCTATATAATTAAAATTTAATATCTCTGTTAGGTAGAGATTCAATTACGATTCTGGTGAATCGTAAAAAGGAGAGCTGATATTCGGGGGGAGTTTATAAGCAAAGTCTCCTGCCTTATTGTCCCGGTATGGAAACACAGACATGACCTTCAGCAGTAGATGTGATGATTTTGATCTCCTTGCACTGGGCATCTCTGATGATGCTGAGGGGAGATCGCCCTGTACCAGGAGGCAGTAGCCTCGCCTCAGAGAGTAACGGAAAGCGTTCATTCAGAAACACTCTCCACGGCTTATCCTAGATGGGGTAGGTCTAGGATAAAACCATGTACAACTCACCTGTGAGAAGGTGGGAAAAGACTCCGACTGGGAATTCTCTGGCTAGGAAAAACAGTGCTCTCCTTTCCAAATCAGAATGAAGATGCAGAATTTCCCATTTTTCATAATCATATCTGATTGGCACCTGCCCTCCATTGAGTCTCGACCCAGAGATATTGCAAACATAAAAGATTTAGAAGAAAACCGGCTTAGTCTCTTAACCTGAACTCAAAAAACGAGTTGTTTTGACCTCCATTTCTGTATGGAGGGGTTTTCAAACAGGCTTCATTTTTGTTCTGTTTATTTTGGGAAGGTAGGTGGGGGGGTGTTCTTTCAAGTGATCCATATCTCAAACCCATACCACTCGCAACTTTTAGTTTATGTGTTCAAAGCCAAAAAAAAAAAAACCAAAAAACAGGGCTGAACACTTAATCTGACATGAAGCTGAAGGAGCGAGCAAGCCGGAGGAGAGGGGTTGAGTAAAGCACGGCCTTGGCTTCATACCACACTTTTTGTGCCTTCTATTATCAATGTAAATTCTGAATGTTGTACAGTAAATACTTGGATGGACTTCTTAGAAAAGGCTGCACTGGCTTCTTTTTCAGCACATGTACAAACCTATAAATATATATACATATATATTTGGTAATGCCAAACAGCTGTGTTATATTGT